ATTTCCACGGTTGTTGGGGAATTGTGGGCCGTTGGTGAAGGAAGCTGGGTGTAATTTCTTCGACGTATTCCGTATTATCGAAGATTGGATTGTGAAGAAGAGGAAGAGGGAAGGAAAGGAAGGAAGATTTGGCAGAGGCGAGAGAGTTGGAGGAGGAGAGGAAGGGTGGAGGAAGGGCGGAGGATCGGTTGGGTGAGTGTGTTGATGACATTATTTGGCCAATTTTGTCGAAAAGCTATCTCCTTCTTTGGATTTGAATGGGTGTTTTCACCGTTCCCTGTAAGATTTCGAGAGGATTTGTGGGAGGAGTTCAGAAAAATATATATTATATATTCAGAGAGAAAAGAAAATTTTCGTATAATATATAAAATATAATAAAAGATCGGCGCTTGCAATTATACTTATTCGATATTCATATATAAATAATAGTAAAAGTAATAAAAAATCACAAGTTACACAGAGTAGACTTTCTTGCAACAAATCTAAGAGTCTAACGTAATGGAATCTGATTTAAATCTATACTGGTTTGAGCAATATATTATATACGAAAAGTACTTATAACTTTGAGAATTATTGGTTATATACGTACAAGAAAAAGTCAGAACGATGTGCATATAAATATTTTAAGCCCATTGAAATCAATGAAGAGGTAGCTTTTCGATAAGTACATCCAATATTCATAGTGATGAACGAATATAGATACACATATATGTCCGGATGGTACATTTATTAGCGGTTCCTCCGCGATTCGATAATACTGATTTACATATTTCCCGATAATGCCGCATATTTCGACATACCGCGTTAGAATTGTAATCATGTGTGTAATTCTCATCCGTACGCGGTAACGAACGATGGTTGTAACGATAGGGGTATTACCAGAAATCCGTCTTAAATCTCTTGTAATTAAATCTTGGACGTAGAGCGTAACATCATAACCCTTTGGTATCGATGTTCTCGATAGATAACAACGGATTAGTTTGCTTTTCTTGGATAATAATAGGTGAGCTTCATCAAAACCTAAAATGTATCTTAAGTTTTCAACATCGTGTATAATCATCGATGATTAAGCGAGGATGAATTATCTTCGTGTTATCTGACACTCTATCTGGTAGCCATAAAATTATAGGTTTCCATTTTTAACAAAATTATTATATATCTTGTTCATTCATCGAGATGGAGATATGTATTCTTGTAATTTGTACAATTTATTTATAATGAGTTTAAGAAATTATGAATAATTTGTACGAGAATAACTTTTCTTAGTTAAAACGTTCTATTTCAATCGAATATTTGGGAAATAAAGAAAATTTTTACATACTTTATATCTGTTATTGAAACAAATATGCATTTAGTATTATTGTATTATTTTCTTTGTATCATTCTCATTAGGATAAACAAATTAGAATTATTCCAATAGAAGAGTGTTCA